GGGGCCAATGTCACCTCCAGGGGACCAGGCCCAGTGCAGCAGGCACGGCAGGGATGCAGGGATATAATCTATATTTAGGTGAACGAATCTATATTTAGGTGAAAAGCGCTCAGAGCCTAATCGCTTGGGAAGATTTCTACACCAAATGCCAGCAGACCCTCCTCCTCCTCCTCCTCCTGTGCCGAGGGGAAGCAGGGCGCTTTCTGCAGCAGTGGGCCTGGTCTGTGACCTTCACGTGTTTAAACATTTCAGAAGTATTTCAGTCAAAAACTCTCTACCCCTTTCTGTTCATTAACCTTTACCAGAGTGCTAATTCTGCATTCAAATCGCAGGTCAAAGCCCTCGGCCAAGGTTTTTCATTAGAGCCAGGTGCCTTCTGGCAGACCCCCTCTGGCGAGAGCCATCGCGAGGGCAGAGCTCTGCGGCCCCGCAGCCACCGCCGGGCTTCCCGGGGGCTGGGTGTGAAGTCTGGCCTGGGAGCAGCTGCTCGGGGAGCCGAGATGCTGGGGGTGATTAACTTTCTGAAATTAATTTAAAAAACGTACTCTCTTACATTATGGTCTGTTGCAGAAAGGTGCTTAAGGCACTGAAACCAAGGCTGCAACTTATCCAGACTGCCGCGACAGAAGTGACACCCTGTCAAAGGGGTGGATGGAGACCTGGGCACTGCACCCCGCGCTGGTGCCAGCAGCACTTACGTGCCCAGTGTAGGGAGTGGGGTTTGGCTGAGCCAGGTAACCACCACTGAGCTTTCGGTGTTGTGTGTTAAACCAGCCCTGTTAGAGAACACGGGGTGTTTCCTCGTCCCAGCCACCTGCCAAAAGCGAGGAGCTGAAAGGGCAGTGGCAGAAGGGAGGCATTGCCCTGCACCCCATGCACGGCCGTGACAGCAGCTCTGGGAATCAGATAATGCAGGAAACAAAGCCCTGATGGGATGAGGCACAGAGCAGCAGAGCAGCACACTGCTTGCACCTTTCCTTTAAAAAAGAGGAAACAACACCACATGGAAGGGCTTTTGGTGGTGGATGCCTCAGCAGTGCAGGGGGGCTGGGCTGGAAAGGGCAAAACACTTCGCTGATATGTTATTGTCACAACATTTAACTTTGCAGCCTTTGGAACTAAACCAGGCTTGGTTGGGAAAGGCTTTTTTAGGGATACCTGGAGAAGGTGGGATGGGACCATTGCTCTCTTTAATCGGGCTTGTTGCTCACCTACAGCTAAAGCACACGGCTGTGTCTTCAGCTGCTTCAAAAGCTTTACTCAAACATCCCATAAAAATTGCTCTGAATTGTGCCTATGGGGAAGGGGCCACATCCCAGGAGCACCACCAGGCGTTCTGTCCTTTTGCTATCAATAAGCACGGGGTGAAAAGGATACACGCACGTGCCCTGTTGAAAGTAATTAGAAACGATTCCGAGGACCTCAGGATCCCTAACACTAAATCCCTTTCGTATAGAAAATAGTGGCACACAGGATCTGTTTCTTTCCCAGCCCAAGCTCTCAGGCTTTGTAAAAGCCTGGGGGAAGTGAGTTTGCAGTAGCTTACTCTGAAGTTAACTTTTTTTTCTTATTGTAATAGATGTAAAAAGGTCAAAGTTAATGAAGAAAATAGTGAATTTGAAGTTCCGTGGAAGAACAACCCAGTGCTTTTAGCAATTCACTTAAATGAGAGAGAAAAACCAGTTCCTTTAACATTTTAAAGCTTTCGTAGCCTAATGAACCGTGCTACCTCCTGTAGCTTCTACAGAGCCGAAATTTCCGCGAGAAGCTGTCTCATTAGCATTGAGTGGGAGCAGCCTGCCCAGCTCGCTGCGGCTCCCCAGGACACTTCACCTCTCGCGCCCGCACGCCCCAACGGAGCACCTGCTGCCCGAAGCGATGCGTCAGGAACGTTAAACACATCTAAATGACTACACCTTCGGACCCGAATTAATCTCCCTGTCGAAGAGAAAAGTGTACTTTCGTGTAAGGAGGAAAAAAAAAAAAAAAAAAAAGGCGGGTTGGGGGAGGAGAGAAATGAGCCTGCCATCTCGCCATTAGACACATACCAGAAAACAAGGCTGCTGCTGCTAAATGACATCTTTAAGGTTTATTCTCACTTGTGGTTCACATTTAAGTTGCTGTCGCTGAGGTTAATGGGAGTTATGTGCTTATGACTGTAATGGTTTTGATAAGTGGAAAAGCTGATGTTATTGCACATAAATCGCATCATGTAATGTGCGAATTGTGTTTCGGTTTTGGCTGAAAAATAATAAAGAGAAGGATGGATGTGCATTAGGAGAGAAGAGATTTTGCCCTCTAGATACCAAATATAATATATATCATCATTACAAGCATTTTTTATCTGGCAGCATAAAAAAAAAAAAAAAAAAAGGTTTGGAGGAATAATGAATACTTTCATATTTGGAAGATATGAGGGGAAATTCCTGTGGCCGTAGTGGCAGCAGCAGCACAATGCCCACTCCCTCTCACCTTCCTCCAACTTTAAATTTTGGGAAATGTAATTTATTACATTTCCCAAATGCTGGCACATTGATAGGAGCCCTGCAGGCTGATTCTGGCGGCCCAGCCGTGGGGACATGAGGCAGAGCCGGGGCAGGGGACACCAGCATCGGCCTGAGGCCTGCAGCCCGCAGCTTGTCCTGCTGTACTCACGGCCCGCCAGGCGACCAGAAAGCTTCATGCCTTTAAAACACAAATGACTGAAAACTAAGTTTACGGGATGTGACAAGTATGCTGATCTCCACTTCCCTATCATGGGGGTTTTCTGATATAAAGGAACCTTTGAGCTCTCCAAGAATTAGGCAGAAAGTTGGCAGAAAGTGGTAGGAGCAAACAGGTATTTGCTCGGTGCTGTCGGTGCCCTGGTGAGGGATGTTTTTGGAACAGCAGGCACCCAGAGTCCTGCCAGGCTGTCCCAAGACCCTTCTTCCCTGGCTGCACGTACAGACTGGGCGATGAGACGCTGGAGAGCAGCCTAGAAGAGAGGGATCTGGGGGTCGTGGTAGACAACAAGTTGAATATGAGCCGGCAGTGTGCCCTGGCAGCCAGGAGGGCCAACCGTGTCCTGGGGTGCATCAAGCACGGCATCGCTAGCAGGTCGAGGGAGGTGATTGTCCCGCTCTACTCTGCGCTGGTGCGGCCTCACCTCGAGTACTGTGTGCAGTTCTGGGCACCACAGTATAAAAAGGACATGAAACTGTTGGAGAGTGTCCAGAGGAGGGCTACGAAGATGGTGAAAGGCCTGGAGGGGAAGACGTACGAGGAACGGCTGAGGGCACTGGGCCTGTTCAGCCTGGAGAAGAGGAGGCTGAGGGGAGACCTCATCGCAGTCTACAACTTCCTCGTAAGGGGGTGTCGAGAGGCAGGAGACCTTTTCTCCATTAACACCAGCGACAGGACCCGCGGGAATGGAGTTAAGCTGAGGCAGGGGAAGTTTAGGCTGGACATCAGGAAAGGGTTCTTCACAGAGAGAGTGGTTGCACACTGGAACAGGCTCCCCAGGGAAGTGGTCACTGCACCGAGCCTGACTGAATTTAAGAAGAGATTGGACTGTGCACTTAGTCACATGGTCTGAACTTGGGTAGACCTGTGCGGTGTCAAGAGTTGGACTTGATGATCCTTAAGGGTCCCTTCCAACTCAGGATATTCTATGATTCTATGATTCTATGATTCTGCAGCAGCCTGGGCTGTGTCCTGGTGTGCCACAGCCCTTCCTGATGCCTTGGCAGGGAAGGTGTGACCCAAAAGTGGAGCCAGCCCAGCCTACGCGTGCTCACCGCAGCCGTGCATGGGCAGGGCGTGTTGGTTTTGGCTGAAAAAGTCAACTCCCAGAGTAAACTCCTCCCTTCAATTATTGATCTATTAGTCTATTAAGGCTGAATGAAGAATTTCTATTTCTCATTTTTTTAAGATTTTTTTTTTTTAGAGTAATTTGTTGTTTAAACGAGTTTCCTGTTCTGTGCTGGGGGGCTATGGGCGTGCTGGCCTCTGGCTGTGGCTCGTGGGTACGCTGGGTTCCCACAGGTCCCTGATGCTGTGGCCAACGGGGGGTGCTCGGGAATATCTGTCTGCCTTTTGGGCTCAGGTCACTGAGCTGTGAGTCAGGGTCCCATCAGCTGTCCTCTTCCCCTAACTCCTGGCGCCATCCCACTGCTGCTGGACCCTGCGATCCCACCTCCCCATCTGATGGCTGAGCCTGAGCTGAGGCCAAGACAGGAGGGAGAAAGGTGGAGAGCTCCGGAGGCGAGGCTGAGCAGGGACACAGCAGGACGACAGGCGGGGATGGGCAGTGCCGTGTCCCCAGGGGCAGGAGGTGGAGGGAAGGAGAAGGCGCCAGGCTGGGAAGGTGGCTGCAGGCTGAGAACGAGCGAGCTCTTGGGCACTGTGACCGCACGCGGGGGGTCTCGGCCCCGGGGCTGCCACAGCTCCGAAAAGGGGGCCGTGCACTGCCAGGGATAGAGCTAAAACTTCATCCTTTTCCTAAACTTCCTCACATATGTCAGCTTATGCAAGAATTTTAAAATTAGTTAAGATTATTTTAAAAGAAACTGAATGTTTTTCTTCACTTTTTTTTTTCCTTTTTTTTTTTTTTTTTTTGAAAGAAACAAAACCTCCCATGGCAGGCTACGAAATATGGATTATTTACCTCCAGACTGGGCACAAAGCTGATCCAATCTCAGAAGTAAATGCATATCTAGTCTTTAAGGCATATTGTTTATCCACGTAAATACATATTTTGGTATACACATTCTTTATAACACAGTTATGTGGAATAAGCAGAGATTTTGGTAGGCGTAACATTTACCATTGTTGGTCTAGAATGCTAACTCTGAAAATGTGCAAAAAAGCAGCTTTTCCTGGTGATGGTTTTTAACACTCCTGTATCTTAAAAACAGCACAGTTTCTAAAAAAAATATATATATTGAAAAGTTTAAAAAAAGCTGTTTAGCTATGAGGAGTATATTTCCTGCCAAGTTATAAACCCTTGAGAAACTGCATTTGTTCAAGAAGTTGTGAGACATCCTTTAATTCAGTATTAGTATAATCTGGATCAGCAACGGTATAATTAGAGCATCATTGCTTCTGTGTACGTCACCAATGCAATGGTAATTAGCAGACCTGAGTTATTGCATGAGTAGGAACTTACGGTGTTACAGACTTCGGGGTTTCCAATGTGGACAACGATCTTAATATAAATATTCAGTTATACTGCTTGGAGCTAAGCCATTTATTTTTCACGTTTTAAAGGTGGGAATAAATATAATAATATTTGACCAACAGATATGAACAGTATGGGTTAACCATTTGAAGAAGCGTAGAACATACCGTCAAACAGTCGCCTAAAGCAAACGCACCCCACAAACTAAAGGGTGAATGGATTTTGTCAAATGCTGTTGAGTTCAATTGGCAGCAGTCTGCACAGTCTGCGTTGGAAGAATGTCCCAGTAAGTCCCAAACTGCACAATTACCAGTTTACCGCAAGGAACAGGTTAACCGAGGAGCCACGTTCCTTTATTCAATCAATACTGCCTATAGCTCCGATCCTGCAAAAAATCAAGGCCGCTTATCTTCATGCACCACGCCCTTTGAATTAATCGGTGCATAAAGGTAAGCGCCTCTGCCTCTGTGCGGGGCTGCAGGATTGAGCAGTCCTGCAGAGCCCAGCCCCGCGGCACCGCGGCACACGGGGCTGAGCGGGTGGGTGCGCACGTGTCCGCTGCTGAACACGCAGATCCGACTGGTGTTTAAGAACCTATCTCATCTAAGAAAATGCTAAATGCTATTGGCACCTAGGAATATTTGTATATATATTTTTTTTTCTATTTTGGACTTGACAACAATCACGTCCCCACAAATTTAAGTGAAAATTCAGAGCTGGGACCAAATGCCTTGTCCATGTCACCCAGTGGCTCTGTGTCTGCTAACAGTCAATACCTCATTCCTCATTTTCTTCACATTTAATAAAGCTGCTGCTCATTCTATTCTGTTGCTGGAATTGTTAGGCTTCAGATATTAGGAATCACTGAAATGAAATATATATAATTGAAATATATAATTTGATCCAGCCCCAGAATACAAACATCTCTCGGTTTTACATGAGACACGGCATACGAGTTGGGTTACTGGTACCCCTTTTTCTTTCTTCATAAAACTGTACTGACATGATATCTGCAGCACCTCTGTTTCTTATGAAGGGGTTCTATAACATAGCACTTTAAAGCTGCAATACAAGGGAAATCAGAATATCAGGACTGTGTATCATATAATTTGAATTGGTCTTATACCATTTCCTTAAAGAATTAATTTTGTCATGTTATTCAAGGTTTTTTACAAAATGCCACATTTCTCAGAATAGTAACTGCTCAGCACGCAGCTGCAAATGATATAATAGAAATAGTACAACCTGTCACTGAACAAAAGCAGAGTGACCTAGGACAATTTATTGCCATATTTTGGAGTCAGCATATTTCACTTCATACCCTGCATCTGAGCTAATCAGTAACAACAGGTTCACCACATATTTGGACTACCTTTTAGCATGGGACAGTATATATATTGAGTCTAAGCAAACTCACAATTTACCTTTTCAGAACGGGGATATTTGTAAACTCGATTTGGAACTGCTGCATATGCACAGTACTCATCTGGTATTGCTAGCTACAAAGCCTTATTGTTAGGAGAAAGAATGTCATATTTATAATAATTGTGTCACCTATTAGAGTTCACATACGAAACAGGGAAATAATAACGTAGATAATGGTTTTATTATTGTTGTCAATAGGAGATCTTGTATTCAAAGGCTGCTGGACACAGTCATGTCCCAGCAATTTACACGGATGGCATTTTTAAATTCAGCTGTAAACTGTGAGCAACATTTTGCAATGATGCAGTATGGGGCTGCTTAGAAAAAATAGGAATGTTATATGCTATTTTGAAACTTGATCCTTCATTGAGGTTAATGAGAGTCTTATCTTGATAGACTGCAGTCCTAGGAAATCATGTATGAGAACTAAACTGCTGTGGTAAGCTATTTGTACAGTATTAGTATGTCAGTAATGAAGTCCTGTCTGTAAAGATGCATCATTGACGGCAGCATGCAATTCAGTACAATTATTAGAGCAACCTTGTTTTAATATATATATGTATTTTATATATATATTATATATATATAAAATTCTGCTTGATACTTTATGTATTTTCAGATATCTAATATTTAAAAGCATCCTTTATCATTGCTAAATTAGCCAAACCAGTACAAAATTAAGTTCAAGAAAAATACCAATTCACTTTTTTTTTTTTTTTTTTTTCCGGTAATATAAAAGGGACAATTCAGTTTCTCACATTTACAGCCATTTAAGAATTCTGATTTAGAATAACTAAGAGAAACCTTCTTACGTTCAAAAGATGTTTCAAAATGATTTGTGTTCTCTTTTGTAATGGGAAAACTAGTTTTTTACAGAGATCATCTACTGCTTAATAGATAGGAAAAAATAAAAGGAATTGGTGCTATCCTTCACTGATTGCCTAAAAATATACACCTGAAGCAGTTCCGTTACCCACTGGAGATGGGAGAGGAGGTTTTCTTTCTAGCCAATAGCACCTTCATCCTCAGTTAGAGATTTGTTATGCTCAAAAGGATGCTTTAGCATTTCCCAAAACACATTCCAAAATTGTTGGAGTGGAAGAGGAAAGTAGTGTTTTATGAAGGCACACCCATGCTGAATTTGCAGGAAAAAAGGAAGAAAACAAAAAGCAGTACTGCACAATGCAGTTATAATACAAGGCTCATTCTTGAAACCTGAATATCATGCTGGAAGAAAATCTAGATATGTGTAATATTTTGAAGAGAGATTTTGAAGGCAATATTGATTTTTTTTTTTTTTATCAAAAGAAAGAAAAGTTTATGTGTAAATGTGGATAGAATGTTTTAAAGAAGGGTACTGAATGTTGTATTGCAGCCTTAAAGAAGCACATTTTTACTGCAATATTCTTTTTCCTTTTTTTCATTTTTTTTTTGTAAACTACGGTCTGCAACTCAGCAGACCATGACTGAATGCTTTTGAAAACTTGTAGATTACAAACATGAAATCACAATTAATATCCTCTAAAAGTAATTTCAGAGCTTTCACGTCTTAAAAAAGGACAATGTGTACTGCTTCACAAGGTAATGCAGCTAATCAAAAAAGGAGTAGAATTAAAGTATTTACATAATGAGCAATTCTACAGAAGGCGATCATCCCCACGTAAGCACTGCTGATTATATCCCACGCTGCTTTTAACAAACTCTACCAGATTGGATCCAGTCATCAGCACTTTCAGAGAATCCTTAAAAGCCTTTTAGGGTTCTTTACATTTAGTGCAGAATGATGTTCTTCAGGTAGAATATGCTGGTGAGAGAGGACAGTGTCAACACAAGGTACCAGCAGGAGAACAGGACTTCGGCATCACCGGTGATCCCGTACTGGGCTGTACTGGGAGCTGCAAAGAGAAAAGAAAAGGGTTAAGGGAAAATTCCTACTCTTAAACCCCAAATACTTATAATTCAGTACTGCCTCTACGATAACATATAAAGCAGCAAAAGCTTTCTCCTGAAAACAGGAGAAAAGGCTGCAAAAGTAGACAGCCCTCCCGTGACAATGCTCACTGACTATTACTTGTTGTGTTAAAGAGCACAAACCATTATTAATGCAAACATTTTAAAATGTGAATACTTAACATTAAATGAGTGCTTCATGTTTAAACATCTGAATAATTTATCTGTTTTTAAGTTACTGAGCATTAAATCTCCACTGAAATCAATGAGAGGTGAATATATTTAGCTCTGTTGGAAAACAGCTTGTTTTCTACTTAACTTCTGGAGCCAAAGTTTGAAAGTTTTGATTAGCCAAAGAGATATACATTTATTGTCAGTCTGATGAAACTGCATTCACTTGCTTCAATACAAAGCCTCTCTCAAATTCCTAATTAAGTATTACAGTAAATGCATGCACAAGAGTTAAAATACAAGAGAACAGTGAGGAGACAGACAACCGTCTGCAGCCGCCGTGAGCAGCCGGTGTGCTGGCCCTTCTGGGCAGCACAGGAGAAGGCTGAAGCAGAAACCAATGGTTTTGTTCTTGTGAAATACAAGACAGCAGAAAAGAAAAGGGACTGTAAAACACCCTGCCCAGAGCCCGGGAGCACCACGTTACCTCTGCTGCTCACCCACTTTCTATCTAGCACTAAAGCCCGCAGACCCGCCTGCTCTTACACTCTGCAAAGTCAGATGTGTAAAGCAAACCAAAAAAAAACGACAACCAAATTAGTTCTTGCTTTTAGAGTTTCACCTTCAGTCAGTTTAATGACTTGCAACCATGACTAACTACAGGACTGGGCACTCCCATTCTCATTCAAAAGGCTCTTTCTGTGATAAACCTGCATGGTGAGCCAATATTTAACATATCAGAAAAAAAACAGTTGATGTATTAGAAAAACCATGATATCAAGCTCAAGCACAGTGGAGGTGGTATTTTGTTTTAGCATATTAAAAGAGTTTTCCCAAAGTAAAGATAATTTGAACTTCAGTGGCTCTAAAAGCCAGTGGAAAATTATGTAAATCTGATTTCCTGCATATGAACCACCACTATCTTTGTAAAGCTTATTAAATCATATCTGGATCGTTTCAGCACAAAGGTGTTAGGTGAATTAATGGGAAAAACACATATACTTGTGTAAATAATAGAAAAGAATTATGTCTCCCAAAGCTGACAAACCAGAAGCACTTGATGTGATAGAAAACGGAAGGAGAAAGAAATCTGGAGAAGTGTAAGGGACTGAATTTGAATACACGGTGGGGGGGCTGTGTTCCCATGGGGAACCCCAAGCCAGTGCTCCTGTGCCAGCTCACAGGGACTGGCAAAGGGAGAGAGATGAAGCCAACACTTAAAATTATTCCCCAGCCCTTCCAATACCTGTTCCATTTCTTCACATTTTTTAAGGAGGGCAAGCTGCTGTAAGCCTGCTGTCACTAGGCGCTGCCAATAATAACCCAATGGATAAAGTTTTACTTAGAGTTGCAGTGGTTTTCAGTGTGAAAAAACAAAACCAAACTGGAGCTATTCAGTTTTGGTCCACGAAGGCCTGAAGAGACCCCAAAGGCAGTGCTCTCACTGTGGAAAGTTCCCAGATCCATGCCATGCCTACAGGCGATCTGACCAGCAACTGGCCTCGCAGGCTGTTTTTTGGGGCTGCATACCACAGCAGAGACAGGCAGGCTCAGAGAGCTGGGCCATTCTTCCTCACCCACCAAACTGGAACTGGCAGCTGGAAAACACTTGAAGGATAAGTGCACAGGCTGAGAAGCACAGCGCTACATTACGGTGCGAGGCTTCAGCCCTCTGAGTCAGCTGTCAGTGGAGACAGCCTGGCACTGCTGGGTGTGCTCTAAGGGCAGGCTTTGCAGCTCCGGGCCAGACGGCAGCACCCCTGCAGGGCTGCACCAGCCTGGGGACCCCCCCTGTGCGGCTGCTGGGGTGCTGCCGATGGAGAGCACGGCTTTGGAAATCCTGCCAGGCTCTTGTGCATCTCCACTTTAACGCGGCTTCTGGGAATCTCCAAGTGTTTCTGGGCTGCTAAGAGAATTTATAAGCAGATGCCTGCCTCTCGCTGCTGGTGCCAAATGGATGGCATCAATTACAATGTCACAGTGAGTATGCTGTGGCATACAGCTTAAAATGGCATGCCTGGCTCATAAAAAGTCCTGAATATGTAACAAGTTTCTGCAGTTCTTTACTTTCTCACCTTGGCATTTTGATTGACTTTTCCTGTGTCATTTGGATTGTTTGGGTCAAAAGAAATTTTTGTTCCCAAATATTAATACAATTTTGTAGATCTCTTGTGATGTGTTATGAACTTTGTACAGAAAACAAAATTACTATTAAAATTTAAAACTTCTTGGTATGATCTGCCTAGCCATTCATCTAGAATGAATAATCATTTCTGATAATTAAAAAAAAGTCCTTGCTTTCATTATCGTTGCTATGCAGTGCCAGGCAAGGTCATTTTGGACTTGGACTGGTTAATTTTCATCCTGTTTTTTTTTTTTTAGGGAACTCTGTATCACTCTAAAAAAAAAGTTTAGAAATGAGCAAGAAGACTTAAATGTTTGAAAATAGCACAAAACTCACCGCTTCTTTTTTCCCATTAAGAACTTAGCACTGAGCGTTTTTTTATGCACACAGACACACACACAGATTTGCAGTCTTTATATTTCTACAGTGAGATAGTGCTAGAGGTACGTATGCTTAGTCATTAAATAAAAGCACGGATTATTGGACTCCCTCATTACATCTGCAGCTATCCTAGACACCTCCATAATTCCTGCTACCACTACAGTGAAGCACTCTGTTTATAACTGATTTCACAGCACATGAAGCTCCGGAGCACAGAGCAAGCAGGAGGACAGCAGTTGGTCCGCAGAGGATTCCTGCTCTGTGTGAAGACTCGTTCAGAGCAACATCCTGGTAACTGTCTCCAATAGAAACCAAGGTCAGATTATTTGCTCCCCTTGTGCTGATCTGGCAGTGCAAATTCTGCTCCAATCCATGGTAAAGGTACCATGAAAGCAAGTGAATTCTCATCTAGGAGAAGATTAAAATGAGCTTGACGAAAAGGCTGGTGTTTGGGAATATAATGTGATCCAGGGTTTACAAGATGCAATACATTTAAAACGTGTTTGCTTCAGTCATTGAGGGATAGTAATTTATTTTATTGTTAGATTAATCAAAGATAATTTGGTAGGAACCCGCACGTGCCAAGAGCAGCCCTCTTTGTGTACACACAGCCACAGGCTGCAGAAACTGGGTTAGTGTGCACGTATTGCACTGGGTCCTTAGAGCACCTTTGCCCCCTTAGTACACTAAAACAGTCCTCAGACCTGTGCGAGCGGCCAGTCCAGTTACAGCAGGAACAGAGACAAATGGAGAAAGCTTCTGCTCTCGCCTCCCCTTGCCCAGTAATTCCCTGTGCTATCAGCGCTGCTCGATAAAGTGGTTCCACTCTCACTGACTGACCTGCACCAAACACCCTGTGGGAGGCAAGGCCCCTGCCAGCCCGGTTATTCCACGCCATCCTAATGGTTTATAACACTTAGCAGTGGTGAAAATGTTTAAGCGTACTCTACACACAGATAGGATTATATTCCTACATCTCTCCTGGTAGTGAATAAAAAAGAGCAAAGTAATATTATATCACTATCTCTAATTAACACAAGAGATTAGGAAAAGTACTATGCTGATACGTGTAAACCAACATTTGCTAACACCAAGGACTGCATTAACCAGAAATAATTATAAGCTTTAATTGTGATGCCTTGTAGACAAAAGCGTGGACCTCTTTGGGTTGTCTGAATAAGCAAGAGTAATTCTGTTAAATGGATTATGCACAGAGAAGTTAATAAGCATTTCATTTAGCTATATTCAGGTTAATGATTTATTATAGAAAAGCCTTAATAGTTTGCATGAAGAAAGCCTTAATAGTTTGCATGCAAAATTTCAAATATACTGAGAAGACAGGGATAAACTAACTCAAGGTCAAAGCAGTAAGAAAAAGACGAAGAAGTCTGGGCTGTCAAAAATGTTTTTTAAAAGAGAAGATTGTAAGATAATGGGACTCTGAAGGCTCACTTGAGTCCCACAGATAACATCTCTAAATATTGTGACACTTGAAGTTAGTTGAGGATTTATGGCTTTGGAGGAGCAGGCCGGCAGTCTATAAAAGACTGAATTAGAAAGCAATGACTTGTGATAGGAGAGGTAATCTGCTCGGAGAGTGCGAGAGCAGGCACACGAGTGTTTTGGCCAAAGGAATGTTTGTCAGAAGAGAAACCGTGCTCTGTGCCTTGCAGGCCAGACGGGATTGCAGGGAGCTTGACCTTGGGAGAAGAAAACCCAAGAGCTGTGTATAGCAATGAATCAGCAAGGACACCAATTTGTCTAGTCTTATGCAAATGCAATCATTCTCGAGGCAGGAAATCTACAGTGATGGAAAATTCACTGGTTAAGTTAAATTGATAAATCTGAACCTTTCAAAGTATCTGCCAGATGGAGGCTTTGATTAAGCAGAGCTTTGACCACAATGATACTGCTTGGGAAATGCTGGTAATTTAGGAAAGTGGAACGGCATTCAGCCCGTGTCTGTGGTGGCTGGGGGCTGGAGGTGATGACTCAGAAGGTCCACTCCAGTCTGATGTCCTCGTGTCACTGCTATGAGTCACCCAAATTCATTTTAATGAGAGAGGAACATAGCGTACGGCACAGGCCGAAATCCCCAGAACGCATTTGAAATGCAAAATGCTTATATTTTAAATAAAGGCATACATTTGCAAGAGATTATTTATAAATGATGTATGGTCAAAATGTTTTGCTTATCACAGTGATGGGAGTCAAGAGAAGAGATCTGTTAAGAGCAGTGCAGCCCTACCCCTCAGAGAAGTGAAAAAC